TACCGATGGATTAACAACAGTTACAATAATTGCAAATAATTTACAAGTTCAACAATGGATTGGTTTTGGTTTATCACTCGATGATAAAATGGTAAAACATTTGGTTAAACTATCTGTCCCTCTTTGAACATTGTTGTTGTTTTTAAAGGGTGATGATCATGTATTTGTTTGCGAACATTTATCCAATAATACTATCGATATGAAACGTAAAATCAATCCGGGTGGCTATGTAATTCCATTGGATGCACCAACAAATTCAGGTGGAACATTTACAATTACACAAACAAAATTTGAAAATTCTGTTGTTACATGTGAATTTATACTATCAAATTTTATTACTAATGAACAAGGAAATAATGGTCAATCGACAATTCCAACATTATCACAGACAGTTCAATATTATCCACTTATTGCAATAGGATACCTGGATAGTTCAAGTAAGATATTAATAGAATGATATCTATGTCAAGTATCTTTATATTTTTCTTTTAAAGATTATATGGAAAAACATTCGACTAAACAAGTAGAAATTCAACTCGTATCATTAAACCGTCGAGAAAAAATTAGTTATAATTTTAATATTTCTGATAAAAATTCAAATTTATTAAAAGCTCATGGATGTATAATGATAATTACGTGGATAGTCATTGTTTCAACTGGAATTATAGTAGCACGTTATTTTAAAAATATCCCATTAATGTCGAATACTAATAAAAATGTATGTGGTGAAACTATATGGTTTGCAGTACATCGTGGTTTGATGTCATCTGCAGCTATTTTAACAATATTAGCATTTTTATTCATTCTGATATATAAACAAGGTAGTTGGGTTACATATGCAAAAAATTCAAAAGAATTTGAACATTCAATTATTGGTATTATAATTGTTTGTTTTGCATTTTTACAACCTTTTATAGCATTATTTCGTTGTCATCCAGGAACACGTTATCGTTTTATATACAATTATTTACATGCAATAGTTGGATTTTCAGCATTTCTTCTATCAATTGTTGCTATATTTTTAGCTGTCTTATTTCCCTATTTTAATTTTCAATCAAACCTTTGTTGGGGTATCCTAACTGGTTGGACATGTTGGATTATTACAATATTTATCATGTTTGAATCCAATGAATATTTTTTTCGAATTAATCATAAACTTCAAACATTTCCTTTGAGTGATACTGCAACTGAAACAATAACATTCAGTGAAGAAGAGAAAGCAGCTGAAAGAACAACACTACGGAGAAATTTATCAAAAGAAAAATTAAAAATCGTGTTATTAGTTTTACATATTTTAGTTGCCCTAGCTTTTTCCATAACACTTGTAATTACAATTGGACAAATATCGATTTAGTTATAAAGCTAATACAAGAGAAGGTCATACGACGTTTTTGAAATGACTTTAAAGTTTGACATACAGGATTACATTAAATAGCTAATCGTCTTTTGTTATACTCACTGCTGAAGTTTCGTTCCTCATTGAATCTATTGTATTAGTTTGTATTAAAATTCTACTATTAAGTTATTATCATAGGGGAATCTGTTTATTAAATGAGAAAAAGCAAAATTTTGTAGCATAAAAAAGTGATATGTTTTTTTCTTTTCGTCTTACATTGTCGACAGGCCATGTTAATCTAGAGTCGAATATCTATCCAAAAGGATGGATAATAATATGTCAGCTGTACTTCCTATTAAATACGTTGACATAATTGCTATATCAATAAGAGTAATATGGCACGGCGTAATCATCATTATAACTAACGACCATAAATTCAGATATTTCTATTCATGTATGTAACATAACTTTCCAATTATATTATCTTTATCAGTTAGTTATTCAAAAGAGAACCATGGCCACTGCTTTTTCTCTCTATAAAAGCATAAGAAAGTGGAAATTCCAAATTTGCTATAGCATTTTTTTCGTGATTAATTTCTCATTTCATGATCAATATGATCTACTTGCAGACGTTCTTCGACAGTTGTGAGTGCACAAATTCAGCGTTGTTGCTTGCCATCCGAAAATTAATCTAGATCGATGTTACCAATCAGTTATACAACAATGTATATACTCCAACGACAGTGGCTAGTTATTGTCAACTTCAATGTTTGAAATTTTCATCGCAGATTAGCCTGTCACAAAGAATTACAAAATAACCGATTGTAATACCAGTTCCAAAAAAAACTACGCTAATTTCCATTTCCATTTCCTGTTACAATTGCATCAAAAATTGTTCAACTGATAAAGAACAAAAAGACATAAAAGAGCCTTTTTGGAATGAACTTTAAAAACTTTTAATCAGAAAGAGGTGCACTATCAGACCAGAGAAATTTAAAAAAATTAAAGTAACAGTTGGTAGACAAAAACTACTCGCATCAACCACATAAACTGCTATAACCAATTCATTGCACATTGCCAATTTTAGTATCTCTAGTGAACATTGCTATTGGTAATGGCCAAATTGCTATTATATTCAATACAATATATGTGATAGCAATTATCGTAGAAAAACATGTTGACGATTGCTTTGATTGAGACGATCGGCTTGTATATATATTTACTTATATGCTCTTGAGAATTGATCTTACTTTTCTACCATCTGTTTCAATGAATAAGGAACTCCGATGTTTCTTGAATAACTTTTGATAGAAGTAGCAAGAGAGCACCGTCTTTCGCTATGCGAAAGCGGAGACTTGGAGGCATGCTTTCGGAAGCAAGAACTTTTTCAGAAGTACTGTTCAAAACAGGTTTTCTAGGAGATCTGTGGAACATCAAGTCGTGTATAAACCGTGTTCAACAGGATTGTATTGCTTTTCTTCCATAGGCTGATAGCTAAAGGTGTCCTCTTCAAAATGAGAGTCAAGCGAGATCTGGATTTTCCGCTGCTCGGGTGTAGTGTCGGATTTCCTGTGAGTTCCAGTACTGGCATCCGGTAACTATTGACAGCCTTGAAACGGATGGACTATAGGTCATCTATCGGACTGACGAAGGAATCGCTCGAGGTGATACCCTCCGTTTCTAATGAGTTATGCCTCAATCGATAGAGTATATCGAGCTAGTAAAACCCTAAAAGGATTCGAGTCCATGGCTTTTGACGACCCGTTTTTCTGGAAAACCAGTTTTTTAGAAACTCTAAAAGATAATCAAAATCTTTCTTAGAAGGACAAAATTGTAGTTTGCACATTTCTGATTAAAACGAGACATTCCCAGCTCTACACGACCTTTCTTTGCAAAGTTATAGAATTTACAAGAAAAGCCCTAAATTAATTTCTTCTTATTTCTGTAGCTTTGAGCTGACAATGAACGCTACAATTTTGTCCTACTAAGAAAGATTTGGGTTATTTTTTTTGATGAGTGACTGCTTAGTTCGGTGCAAAACTCATTCATTCTGAACCTAAAAATTTATTTTCTGCAGTGACAAGAACTTCTACACTCAAGTGGGCGTAAATTCAGAATCGACTAGTATACCGACAAGTCAGAAATGTCGAAATTTTGACCGGTCAGTCGGTATGTAGTGGGGGTTT